TCTGAGCCCCCTGAAAACAGGGATTATCTAGAGGTTATTTGCTGTGTCATCAGCTCCCGGCACAGATAAGACACGTAGTAGGCACCGGATGATGAAGGATTGGCATTAAATTACTCTTAAAAATCAAACAATCATTCATGTTACTCACATTGCGGAGTGAATGAGCTCTCATCTCCTGACTTGAGAGTAAGATGATGAACCATATGTGGAGGACACAGGTAAGTGACCCCCTCCCATCCTCTGAAAAGATGGTGAGTGATGAGGGCAGGATGGGGGCAAGGGCGACCTGGACTCTAGAATCCAACTTATGGCTGGTCTGCATCATGAAACTCCAGTGATGATTGTAGAAATTAGTCTCCTCCCTTCTGTTCCTTTATCTTACATTTTGGGTTTTGGAGAATCATTTTATCTCTCTCTGCTTCCTTTCCTTAAAAATTAAGGTGCTCAGTATCAAAAAGAAGAAAATACTTCTTCTTTTTGGGATAAATTCAACAAAAGAAGTGCAAGAATTGTGCACTGACAACTACAACACATTGTTGAAAGAAATTAAAGACCTAAATAAATGGAAAGACATCCTATGTTCATGAATTGGAACACTTAGTATTGTTAAGATGGCAACACTCCCCCAAAGGATCTGGAGATTCAACACAATCCCTATCAAAATCTCAGCTAACTTTTTTTTTTTGGCAGAAATTAACAAGCTGATCTTCAAGTTCATATGGAAATTCAGGGACCCCAAATAGCCAAAACAATCTTAAAGGAGAATAATAAATTTGGAGAACTCACACTGCCTGGTTCCAAAACCGACTACAAAGCTGTGGTAATCAAGACAGCATGGTACTAGTATACGGAGAGATACATAGATAAGTGGAATTGAATTGAGGCAAAAAATAAACCTTTATTTACAGTCAATTGGTTTTTGACAAGTATGCCAAGATAACTCAGTGGGGGAAAGAAGAGTCTTTTCAACAAATGGTGCTGGACAACTGGATAGTCATATGAAAAAGAATGAAGTCAGACTCCTACCTTGTATTATATACAAAAATTAACTCTAAATGGATCATAGACATAAATGCAAGAGCTAAAACTATAAAACTCTTAGAAGAAAGCATAGCAGTAAATCTTCATGAAATTGGGTTAGGCAATGCTTTCTTATATATGATAACAAAAGCATAATGATAGTAGAAAAATTCAATAAATTGGACATCATCAAAATGGAAATCTTTTGTGCTTCAAAGTACACTGTCAAAAGTGTAAAAAGACAACCTGCAGAATGAGAGAAAATATTCACAAAAATATATATCCGACAAGGATCTAGTATCCAAAATATATAAAGAACTATAACAACAATAAAAAGACAAAATCCCAATTTTAACAGGGAAAGATTTTTAAGAGACACTTCTGCAAGTGGCCAATATGCACATGAAAAGATGCTCAACATCATTAGTCATCAGGAAAATGCAAATCAAAACCACAATGAGATACCATTTCACACCCACTAGGATGGCCACAATAACAGGTGTCGGCAAGGATGTGGAGAAACTGGAACCTTCATACATCACTAGTGGGAATGTACAGTGGTGTAGCTGTTTTGAAAAACAATTTGGCTGTTCCTCAAAATGTTAAACATAGAGTTGCCATATGGTCTAGAAGTTCCACTCCTAGGTATATACCTAATAAAAATGAAGACACATGTCCAAACAAAAACTTGTATGTGTATATTCATAGCAACGTTATTCATGAGTTGAAAAAGTGAAAACTACTCAAATGTCCGTCGATTTTTGAGGGATAAATAAAATGTGGCATGTCTATAGAGTAGAATATGATTCAATCATAAAAAGGAATGACATACTAATACATGCTATACTGTGGATGGACCTTGAAAACATTATGCTAACTGATGGAAGCTGGTCACAAAAGACCATATATTGTATGATTCTATTGAAATGTCCAGAGCAGGAAAGTCTGTAGAGACAGAAAATGACTAGTGGTTGCCAGGGGCTCGGGAGAAGAGAGGATGGGAAGTGATTGCTAACAAATATAGGATTTCTTTTAGAGAGGATGACAATGTTCTGAAACTACGACAACTACATGAAGGTTGCATAATTCTACGAGTATACGAAAAGTTATGGAGTTGTCCACTTTTAAAAGGGTGAATTTTATGGTATATAAACTGTATCTTAAAGCTGTTATTAAAAAAATTAGCTGCCAGTGCAGCAGCCCAACAGTGTGCAGGGCAGGTGTAGGTGTTCTGTGAGGCCTGGCCTCAGACCCAGCTGTCTGCTGCTACCTCTTGCTGAGTCAGATGCCCTCCCTGGGCAGCCCAGATGTCAGCAGGCACATTTAAGCTGACGTGACTATTGGGTGATCAATGCCTCTTTACTGACAGAGGTCATTTGCCTTGACTTTACAACCCCGTCTAAGTAAACAGGCTCAAATGGCTGGAGGTGACTGCTAAGGAGTGCAAGTGGCAGTAAGCAGACACTCACTGCCAACATCATGGCCTGGGCAATTCCTCAACAGGAAGCTTTGTTTTCATTGATGGTCAGAGTCTGTTGTCCAGCAGGGACCTGTTCATGGCTCAGTTTCCAGTGGCTTCACCTTCTGTGCACTGTGTGTCTGCTGGCTTTTAACCATGACAGGACAAGCATCACCTGACTCCATAGCATTATATGCCACCTCGAGCAATGGTGCTGGGCATTTCTTATAGTGTCAGCTTCTCTGAGGCCTGTCCCCGCTCTGAGCCCTAGAGGAAGCTATGAGGAGCCAGCATCCCACAGGCTCACCTCCTCAGTGCTCCCCGATGGTGGCCCTGGGCTGCTGGGAGGACCTTTTCTCCTGGGTTACCTAAGCTCAGGCATGGTCAGCTCCAGGCCTCCCCCTGATTCCTTGTGGTGCCAAGGAGGGGCTGAACCAATGCGGCTGAGTGACCAACTGGTGTGTTTCCCTGCTGGAGGAAGGGTCAGGTGTTGACTTCTGACCTGGGTCACTCTGTCTCTGGGCTCAAAGTGGAGCTAAGCACAGCTACCTTGCAGGGTGCTGTTAAGAGCAAGCAGACACGTGCTTCGGGCTAGACAGATGGATGGTGCTCAATACAAGAAGTGGTAGTAGTAGTTATTCTGGTTTTTTTTTTTTTTTGAGAAAGATTAGCCCTGAGCTAACTGCTGCCAATCCCCCTCTTTTTGCTGAGAAAGACTGGCCCTGAGCTAACATCCGTGCCCATCTTCCTCTAGTTTATACGTGGGACGCCTGCCACAGCACGGCTTGCCAAGCGGTGCCATGTCCGCACCTGGGATCCGAACTGGTGAACCCCAGGCTGCCGAAGTGGAACGTGCAAACTTAACCACTGTGCCACCGGGCCGGCCCCGGTAGTAGTTATTCTTAAACCAGAGTTTCCATAAAAACACACCTCCTTAGTCTTCTCAACATTTATCCTCAAGTTCCATCTCCTCTGCCCTCAGATCAAGGAGTGTGTGGAGGAAATTGGAGAAGGCGGGCTCTGTTCCACGGCTTCAAGGCACCAGTCGGTCCAGTGAACTGTGAAGTCTTTTGCTTTTGCACTTCTGGCTGTGAAGGGCCCACCAAAGGACCCTTGGGAGCTGTCTTCCGTCCCTCAGCACCAGCTCCTTTCCATTTTCTGTCTGATCCTTGACCATTTGCCCCTAGATTGTGACCCCTTCTATAGCAGTGGGTGTTGGTGATCAGACTCTAATTAATCAAGTCTTTGCTGAACTCCAAAAGCTCAAGGGACCCATGTGGAAAGACAGACTGCAACTTATGGGATGATTTTCCTCCTATGTCTTCTTCCCACTCACTCTGACAGAGTCCCCACCACTGCCATCATGACCCATCAGCCTGAGGGTGGCAGGAATTGGGGGTGACCTCTTGGAACTCCTAGAAGGCCAGCAAAACTCATTCTCATCTCACTGGTGGGAGAAAAAATGTGTGAATAAAGTGCCAAAAATCCTCCCTGAGGATTGGGCAGGGGTCTATCTAGTTGTGCTTCTGGTGGGTATACTCAAGGCATGCAGGTTTGATTTCTCTAATACCAGCCATCCATCCATTCACCCACTCATCCACCCACCTATCCAACCATCCATCCATGTATCCACCCAGACATACATCCAGACATCCAACATCCACTTCCTGGGCACCATCTCAGCTTGGTACTGTATGCCAGGAGTTGAAGGACACCTTACCTGACCCTCAGGGAGCTTCTAGATATGTACACACCATAATACGTAATAACTATGTGAAGCAGAATGTAAGTAGCTACAAACAGCTATAAACAAAATGCTCTTGGAGCTGCGGCTGGGGATGGATTTGGGTTGGGAGGAATAAGGAAGCCTTAGTGGAGGAGAAGGTTTTTGATGGATTGGAAATGGGGCAGAGCTGGGATTAATGCAGTGAGTGGAGAGGATTGGCTGGGGTGAGGGAGGCCACAGGGATGGGATTCACTCAGCAACACTGACCAGTGTCGACAAAAATAATCCATAACCAATCTATAAATGAAAATTTGGGAGAGTTTATTTTGAGCTAAAATCTGAGGACCATGGCCCGGGGCCTTTCTTCCTGAAGGAAGAAAGGGCACTGAAGAAGTGGGGTGCGCAGAGCGGTTATATACCCCCAAACAGGATGTTTCACATATGATTCAAATGTCTCTTTTACAATAGTCACGAGACTGCTCTGTCAGCACAGCGATTGATGGAAACAGCAGGTAGGTCTGCTGTCTCACTGAACACAGCAGTGTGGCAGTCTGTTGTCTCCAGCTGGGTGGTCACAGGTGAGCACAGCAATCAGTTCTTAGCCTAAGGAAAGATGCTTATCCTTAAGGAAATGCCAATGTGGAGGGAAGTTTCGCCTTTATCTTAAGGCCATTTGTTCTTGCCATAGGAAATGTTTAAAGCAGATATGCAATGCGTGCTCAATGGCCACAGTCACGCCCTTTTGGGAAAACAAAGTCAGGCCGAATTAGGTTTACACCAAATGGCTTCCTCATAGACTCCAATATATCCTATTGCTTGCCATTTCTATTTGTCACCAGGAACTTCTGTGTGGCCAGGGTTGTGCTGAATCTCACTGAAAATATAGGAGTTTGGACTTCTTTCTCTAGGTCAGAGGTGAGCAAGCTTTTTCTGTAAAGAGTCAGAGAGTAAATACTTTAGGCTTGCAGACCGTATGGCCTGTGTTGCAAATACTCAGCTTTGCTGTTGTAACTTAAAGGCAGCCATAGAGAACATGTCAACCAATGGGCACGACTGTATCTAATAAAACTTTATTATGGACCCTAAAATTTAAATTTTATATAATTTTACATGCCATGAAAGGAATCTTTTTACATTTTCAATCATTTAAAAATATAAAATCCAGATGATGTCATCAAAATGATGACATAGGAGACGCCAGCTTCCATTCCCCGCCAAAGATCAGTACTTAGACAGCTATCCACTAACATAAACAGCTCCAGGAGAGCTCTGGAGTCCACTTAAGAAACTGGCTGCACCCAGGCTTTCTTGGGGGACCCTGGAAAAGGCTGTGTTGGTCTAACTATGTACACATGGAGATGGCATGGGGGTGAGGGTGAGTATTCAGCAGCCTAGATGGGCATTTGGCCAGTTCTTGTCTGAAGAGGAGCCCAGGTCAGGGGAACCTCTGAGTGCACCTCTGTCCACACCTCACCCAGAGTGGAGGGACCCAGGGCCACCTTTATGCTGAGCTCGTGCTTATGCAGTTCTGAAGTTAATCCCTCCTTGGATAATTGGGAAACTGAGGCCCATAGAGAGGCAGGAACTGGCCCATGGCATACAATATGCAGAATCCAGAGGTAAGAGTGTGTTCTGACCTTCTAGGCCAAGGCTCAAACCTCTCGCATAGGGTTTGCTTTGGGAATTAGAAACCATAAGGTCTGGGGAAGCTCTTGCGCATCCCTCCCTCTGTGGGGGCTATTTTCTTCTGGGCATCCAGAACATGAGCACTGTCACACACATGCACACAGTGACATTAGATGTAGGGACTATGGGGTGCGATCAGAAGAGAAGTAGACAAAGGGGAGGTGATAAGAGAGAGAAAAAAGAGGTTGGAAGCATTACCTACGGGTGACACCACTCCTCCAATTTTATAGGTATCATCCCACACAGGCCTGAGGACATCTCTAGGAAGCACATGCTACAATGATCCTCACTGTGCAGACAGGAGGCAGACAGACCCTGAGAGGCACAATGGCTTCTCCAGGATCAGGAACAAGTAGGAATGAGGAGTTGTGTCCGCATCTGTCTCAAAGCTGGGACCCTGGCTGCACCCAGATCTTCTTGGGGCCTGTGGAGAGGGGTGTGTTGGTGTGCCTGTTCACGGACATGGTGTTGCATAGAGAACCAAGGGTGAGCAATTAGCAGCCCAGAGGGCTGTTTGGACAGGTGTTATCTGAGGAGGGGACTCAAGTACAGGGACCCTAGGAAGGGAAGTCCCTTCCTTGACAATAGAACCCAACAGAAGTTGGAACCCCCATAACCAGTCCCCCACATTCTAGCGACAGCCTCATACCCAGCTCACTTGGCCAGAGACACTCGATAGTGAAAGATGTTCTCCTGCTGTAACCTGACTTACTGAGGTTCTGGCTTCAGGAAACCCCGAGTGAGAGACTTTTCAGACGCTGCAGACGTTGGCTCAACCCTCCTCTCTGACGCCTCTGGCCCTTTGCTGGGAGGTCCCCTGAAGTAACACAAGGTGGTCTAGGGCCAGGCCAAACCAGGCCAGGCCACCTCTGTGAACCCTCTTAGCCCCCATCTCCTCATCTTCAGTGTTGGGGGAGGACTTACTCTTGGCAGGAGCAAGCTGATGGGTGGCTGATAATCTGGTGGTCTTCTCATGTCCACACTCCAGGACAGCGCTGGCAGGGTGGAAGGGGGATTCTTGAGGTGCCTCTTATCTGTGCCAATCTTAATCCAAGGCCCTAAGGCTGTCACCTTTCCCTCCTTGGTGGAGGTCTGTGCAGACTATGATGTGTGTGTGTGTCTAGAGTGGAGGGAGTCACAGAGGTGTGAGAGGCAGCAAAGACGGCTGGTCAGGGCTTGGCTGCCAGGCACTGTCTTTACAGAGCTCCACTCGAGAGATGAGGCAGGAGCTGATTAACGGGGGCCTCTACTCCATCTCCCTGCAGGAGAGGAAGCTGCCCCACACCACCAACAGTGCTGGCTCCGTGACAGCAGGTGCTGAGGACACCCAACACCCAAGGCCCCATACAGCCAACGGGGGACCCCGGGTCCCAGAACACCTTGATACTCCTCTGGGCTCCCTCCTAGAGGCTGGCTCCCCCAAAAATCTGAGTCCCTACCTCCTTATCAAACTCACCCTCGCTGCCCAGCCAGATGCAAAGTCACTGTCCATGTATTTGTAGGAACATCAGAAAAGAGACTCTTAAACCATTTCACCGCACATTCAATCAAGAGTATTTTTCTACAGATTTTCCTCTCTTTCCCTCCTGCCCGCAGCGTCCATGTTGACCCAGTAACCCTTCCACATCTCCACGTCTTACACCTCATCTCGAGTGGTAGGGATGCTTTTCCCCAAAAGGACACGGGGCACTATGTCTGTTACTCTGCAGATGGCAATTTGCCATCCTGAGGAACACGTCCCCATGGCCCCTCCAGGTCAGGGGCCGGGGCCTCACTGGGCTGCACAACATTCCAGAAGGGAGACCCTTTCCCACAGTGTCTCAGCCCCTCACTGATGTGGGACTTGTGTTGCCATTTTCACAGCACTGCGCTGACCATCCTGCATGTGCTCCTGTCCTGATCCCTCTACCCCAAGAAAAGCCTCTGTGTTCTTATCTCTACGATGGGCTATGTTTTCAGAAATCACAGGGACGATGCTGTTAACACATGGAGACGCTGTCAGTATTCAGCTAACAATGTTTAATCATTCCCCTCCTCAAATTCTACTTTTAACGCCAAGAACTTTTTCCTGCTGTGGGCACTCATACCCCACCTCTTACCACAAGTCACTGAGGGCTTGGGAGTTGGGTCTGAGCTCCTGCCCCCCAGCTCTCCTGCTGTCCATGGTGCTGCCTCTGATGGCAAGTCCCTCCTCTGTCCCACCCCAGGATGAAAATGGATCAACGGTGAACAGGAACGAGACCCACATGGTGTGGCCCATCCAGGCCGGCACACTGGAGAGGCTGGGGGAGAGCCTGGTGCCCGCCTTCCTGCACAGCGACAGCACTTACACCCACAGCCTCCTGGGCACATGCAGAGCTTTTGCCACCACCCAACAGGTGCTGGAGCTGCTGTTTAAAGGTAAGCACCCTGCCCCTGCACAGCACAGTGGGGATTCGGCTGCCTGCTAGCTCAGAGTCTTCAGAATGCAGCTCTCTGAGCCTCAGTTTGCTCCTCTGCACAGTGTGGCAAATAGAGCTTCAACCTCATGTGGATATTGTAGGGACTCACTGGGATGCTCGTGGGAAGCACTCTGTGGGGCTGGCCCTGGGGACAGGTCTGCTGCAGGGGCTGTGGTTGTACTAATTAGTCATTTTCGTCTTCTACATAATGAAGCCTCTGCCTCATCCATCATTGTCCCCGTGGCCTTGGGCTGAGCTGTTTTCCCATTTGAAAAGGAGATTTGAGATTCCATCTAGGGGTCCCTGTCCTGGGTGAAGCCAGAGCAGAGATCCCTGGGGATGAGAAGGAGGGCCCTCGGCCCACTCAGACATCTGTGATGGGGCTGGTTGGAGCTCATTCATTCATCATATAGAGATGAGGCCCCACTAGGTGCAGGCAGTTTTCTAGGCACTGACCATAGTCCAGTGCACAGAGCAGACACAGCCCTGCCCTCCAGGGCTCCATTCTAGTTGGGAGTCACACAGTCACACTAGACTTCTCAGGAGCTACTGTCCACAGTAAAGTCGATGTGATCCCTCCTGCCTCCTCTAGATATGGATGCATCCTCCCTTCTTCTGATGAGGTTGGCGGACCTCTGCACCAGTTGAAGTGTGAGTGGGCTTTGGATCAAGTAGGAGGGCCGCCCTGCTCCACACTGAGGGGAGTGCAGGACCCGTGAATTGAGGGTGCTGGCAGAACCCAGAATCTCAAATCTTGTGATTCCTGTGAGAAGGCAAAGGTCTGACGGCTTCCCCTAGAAAAGAAAAAAACCAGTCAAGGAGAGCTGTGCCTGGGGTTTTGAGTGCTGTGGGAGAGCAGAGGGAGCTGGAGGATGGACTTGGTCCCCATGAGAATCCATGCCTGTCCCCTCGCCATCCCAGTCCTGTCTCCACCACCATCCTGGAACTTGGAACAGGAGGTGTGGGGAGCATCCTGCTTCCTAATCTCATAGAACCTCAGCACTGGGTGCTCAGCCTCTGCTCAGGCGACTCAGTGAGTGCTCAGGGGCCAAATGACTCCCTCCTTATTAGAGATTAATGTCAGGGGATGCTGACCCACATGGGGCACCTAGTGAATCAGGCAGCATGTAGGCACAGGAGCTAAGGTTTGAGGTATGAGGAGGGCCCTGGGAAGCCTGGGCAGGAGACAAAGTCCATTATTCCCTCATCAGTCAGATATTCACAAAGCCCCTACTGTGTGCCAGTGAGTGCAATGAACAGAGCAGACTCCACTGCTCCCTGCCCTCATGGAGCTGACATCCCAGGGAGGAGGGAGCAGGGAGACAGACAGAGGACTGTGTCAGGCTTCCCTGAAAAGGGGGAAAGGTGGTCACACCATTGATGAAGGCATCTCATTTACGAAGGCTTTTTGCCAGCCCTTCCTTAGTGACCAGGTCTGTCTCTGCCAGGACTGCCAGATTGGAAGTGGACAGGAGGAGGATTGGCCTCGGAAAGCCAGGAGCACGAGGCATAGGAGCCCGGGCTCCTGCGGGGGTGCCCTGGGAAGGCAATGTGGAAGGAAAGGCCAAGCCTCTGACTCTGCTGCCCACCTGCCTATCCCCAGGGCCATAGCCTCTATCCTGGGCACTTGGCTGGATCAGTACTGTGAAGATTATTTCCAGCCCCCAGAATCCCTCTGCCTGAAGATGCTGTTGGCCTATGTGCTGGTCAACATGCCCAGGCTTGGACCTGGAGTGCCATGCCCACCTTCTCCTGGCACAGCTGGAGCACCTTGAGCCCACTGAGGTGGAAACTGAAGGTGAGGAGGATTTGGAGGGGGTGATGTGGGCGTGTGTGGAGGGGATGGGGCCAGGCCATGCTGAACAGAGCCTCCAGTGGCTGGAGTTGGGCCAGGAGCGATGAGTATGCTCAGATCAACATTCCCACGGATTGCAGTCTGGAAAGACTTTCTGGGGTTGGGTTCTTGGACTGAGACTTTATTGATTGATATGAGAAGTTTCATGTCTTTGGAAGGCACATGCAAGGCAGTCATATTGATGATATTTTCTCTTCTTGGAGCTACAGCACCAGCTCCAGAGCAAGATCAAGAACCACCTCAAGACCTAGTGCCAGCTCAAACTATGGTGACAGCTCCAGCTCCAGCTCCAGAATGAGAGCAGACTAGAGCCACAGCTCCTGTTCAAGCTGAAGAGTTATGCCAGTTCCACATAAAGAGCCAGAGCAGCCACAGGCAACTGCTCTCATTTAAGCTAAAGAATTAAGCAACTACATCAGCTTCAGCTTTAGAATCAGAGCATGCTCAAGCCACAGCTTTAATTTAGGCTCAAGAGCTAGAAGGAGAAACTGCACCAGCTTCAACTTCTCTCAAGTGCAGATTCAAACCATAGCTCTCCTTCAAGGTAAAGCCCTGGAACCACCACCTGCACCATCTCTGGCGTCAGAGGAAGAGCAGGCCCAAGCTAGAGCTCTCATTCAGTTTCAAGAACTAAAACAAACACATATTTCTAGACCTGGAGCAGGCTCAAACTAGAGCTCTCATTCAAGTTGAAGAGTTAGAACAACTTCCTGCACCATCTGCAGCTTCAGTGCGAGAGCAGCTCCAGCCAGAGCTCAAGTAAGCTCAAGAGCTGGAACAAGCACTTACCATCATGAGTTCCATGGAGCCGATGACATAGGGTGGGAGGTGGGCCAGGGCGGCGCTCAAAGCTGTGGGTGGGAGCAGTGCAAGAAGTACATACTGGTGTGTTTGCATGGCATGCCAGCCGAGCAGACTTCATGTAGTGGAGGTTGGAGTTATGCAGACTGTCCCAGTGTTCTCTGTTTGGTATTCAAATTAAGAGGGTACTTAGTACCTCCATGGCCTTCAAAAACATCACATCCAAAATAACTGCTGGGCTTAAATGATGGCTTGGAGCTGCCTCAGAGCCAAGAGGAGAAGCTGGCCCTGCCTGCCCCTTCCACCCCAACCTGGGTGAAACTTCAGGGACTGGACTGCTTTCCCTGGGCACTTCTCCCCTTCCCAGCTCTTCCTCTTTCTTCTGTTTGTGGAGGAGGGGAGATGGTTCTGAAGAAATGAACAAACAATACAAAAAATTTAATGGGTAAGCATTTAACATCTTACTTTTTGAGTTGCTTTTAATGATGATTTGTGGAAAGTGATTATTGATTTGAATAGTCTCATTTTTGTTTGTCTTCAAGAACACAGAGTTGTCACTTCCTTGAGCAGGTCATATAACAGTGGTATTAACACTAGCAATCAACAGTAGCATTTACTAGTGGTCAAAGCCTTTCTATACCTTTTCAATTCCTATTAGCCACAAACGCCCATTTAACAGACTGGGACATGTATGCTGAGGGAGCCTAAGTAGTTTGTAGAGTCCCTAAGCTGGTGAGTGGCACAGCTTATGTCGTGAGCTTGTGCTCACAACCGCAGGGCCATGTGGCCTCCCTTGGCTCAGGTCTGTGGCCTCTAGCGTCCTTGTTTCTGGCATCCTTTTGATATTTGTTATACTGTGTCTCTTAACTGGACAATTCAGTCATGAGAGAGATGAGACAACCAACTACTTTGTGTAGCTCTTCAGGGCTCCTCGGGAATTAATTTGTCTGCAGTCTCTAAGTCCTTCTCCGCACAAGCAGGACACAGTCCTGAGGACAAATTCTACCTCAAAAATGTGAAAGAAAAATGCAGCTATGCAGAGTGCTGGAAATGTTAATGTTGTCTGGGACACTATTTAGCCCAACGCGGGTGCCTTGTGGGTCCTTGGGCACACAGGTTGGACCTCATGGTGTTACAGCTTTAGGAGGAGCCTGATCTGATCTAAACAGGAAGGTGGAGGCTAGCAGACTGGCCACCCTGATGGCAACACTAGTGGCTTCACCTCCCTGTAACTTCTCGGCCAGGGCACTGCCTCTGTTCAAGGCCAAGAGTAGTGAATTTCTTCATGGCTGACCCCCACAGCAAAAGTTGACTGGTGAAGGTTTATAAGGTCATGTCCAGGGGCAGTAGTGGGGAAAGAAGAGCATTTTAGCACAGAACTGAGCTCACATACTGGAAGTAAATTTCTCCAAGCCCTTCTTACTATAATAGGATTTCTAACTCAGTGTATGCCATAATATCTTGAAAGCTAAGAAGGATAAAATAGGAGGCACCAGGACACCATAAATGTGGTACCATCAGTTATGAAACTGCAAAGTAACACTGATGAGAAGATGTAGATTTAGTATATTTCATAGGTGTGATAGACCAGAAAGAACAGCTTAAGAAATTGAGGCAGAGATTACCATTGTCATATGAGAACTCTTGGGGACAGAGCTTCGCCAGAACCTGGGTCTCCTGAATCTCAAGCTGTTAATCTTTCATGACATGACATTGCCAATAAAGAGGCTGATTCAAGGCCCCTAATGTTTAAAAAACTAAAACAAGAAAAAAGGGCCTCCTTCCTTTATATCATTCATGCTCAAAACTCATGGGGCAGTAGGTCTGCTCTGTGAGATGACATCATTATCCTTTAGACCATCATTCTCAAATATCTATGCCCGTAGTGGATTCAGGGAGAGGGGTAAGAGTGAGGTAGATTGAGAAGTCTCCTGCTAAAATTAAAATCATATATAAATAGATGCAGAAAAAGTACAAACCCATTCATGATAAAAACAAAAAACTCTTCAGAAACTGGCAATAGAGAGGAACTTCCTCAATTTCATAAAGAATACGTCAAAAGACCTAGTACTTATGTTGAGAAGCTAGATGCTTTCCTGATAAGATCAGGAGAAAGGCAAGTGTCCCTTCTTGCCAGTCCTGTGCAACATTGTACTGAAAGTCCTAGGATATGCAGTAGGACAAGAAAATGAAATAAAAGGTGCATGGATTGGGAAGGAAGAAATACAATTATATTTTCTCACAAGTGACATGATTACCTATGTAGAAATCCCATGGGATCAATAAGAAACTCCTGGAATAACCAATTATAATAAGAAGTTACAGCAAATTTGCAGGATACAAGGTTAATACACAAAAGTCAATTGCTTTCCATTAACAGAATTTGAAATTAAAAACATGTCATTTACATTAGTAGCAAAAAAATGAAATACTTAGGTACAAATACAACAAAATAAGTACAGGATCTATATGAAGAAAACAACAAAACTGATAAAATAAATCAAAGAAGATCTAAATAAATAGAAAGATAATCCACATTCATGAATAGGAGGATTCAACATTGTCAAGATGACAGTACTTCCCGACTTGATCTACAGGTTCATTCCACCCTGAATCAAAATCTCAGTTATTTTGTGGATATTGACAAACTGATTCTAAAGTTTCCGTGGAAGGCAAAATATCCAGAATAGCCAACAAATACCAAAGAAGAACAAAGTCAGAGGAATAACACTACTCAACTTCAAGAACTACTACAAAGCTACAGTAATCAAGACAGTGTGGTATTGGTGAACAAAAAGAGAAAGAGATAAACGGAATAGAATAGAGAGCTCGGAAATGGACTCTTACAAATACTGTCAATCAGTCTTTGACAAAGGAGCAAAGGATTCAATTCAACAACGGTGAAAGGGTAATCTCCAACAAATGGTGCTGAAACAATTGAACATCCACATTCAAAAAAAAAGAAAGAAAGAAAGAAAGAAGGAAAAGAAAAATCTATACGCAGACCTTACATCTTTCACTGAAATTAACTCATAATGGATCACAGACCTAAATGTAAAAGGTAAACTATAAAGCTCCTAGGAGATAATATAGGAAAAAATCTAGATGATCTTGTGTTTGGCAATGACTTCTTAGATAAACACCAAAAGCACAATCCATGAAAGAAAAAATTGATAAGTTGGGTTACATTAAAATTAAAACTTCTTCTCTACAAAAGACAGTTAAGAAAATGAAAAGACAAGCCACAAAGTGGGAGAAAATATTTGCAAAACACAAATTTGATAAAGGACTGGTATCAAAACACATAAAAACCTATTAAAACTCCACAATAAGAAAAAAACCCTGGTTATAAAATGAGTAAAAGATCTGAACAGATACCTTACCAAAGAATATATGCGGATGGCAAATCAGCATATGAAAAGATGCTCAACATAACTATGTCATTAGGGAATTGTAAATTAAAACACTGACATATCACTACACACCTATTAGGATGTCTGAAATTTAACACACTGACAACACCAAATGCTGATAAGGATGTGGAAGAAGAGAAACTCTCATTCATTGCTGGTGGAAATGAAAAATGGTATAGCCACCTTGGGAGACAGGTTTCCTGTTTTTCACAAAACTAAATATCCATTTATCATACAATCCAGCAATCAGTTCCTTGGTATTCACCCAAAGGAGTAAAAATCTTGCACCCACATCAAAACCTGCACACAAATGTTTACAGTAGCTTTATTAATAACTGTCAAAACTTGGAAGGAACCAAGATGTCCTTAAATAGGTGGTGGATAAACTGGTACATCCATACAATGGAATATTATTCACTGATACAAAGAAATGAGCTATCAAACCATGAAAAGATGTGGAGGAAACTTAAACACATATTATGAAGTGAAAGGAGTCAGTCTGAAAAAGCTACATAATATATGATTCCAAATATATGACATTCTGTAGAAGGCCAATATTTTTACTATGAAGACAGTAAAAAGATGAGTAGTTGCCAGGGATTTGGGGTGGAGTGGAATAAATGGGAGAAGGGAACAGGAAATATTTTAAGACAGTAGAACTATTCTATATGGTACTGTAATTATGAATACATGTCATTTCATTATGGAATTGTCAAAACCCAGAGAATATACAACATACAGTAAGCCCTAATGTAAATTATGGACTTTAGTTAATAATGATGTTTCTATTTTAGTTTATTAATTATAACAAACACACCACACTCATGCAAGATGCAAATAATAAGGAAGCTGGGGAAGGGAAGGAGATATATGGGAACTCTCTGCACTTGCCATTCAACTTTTATGTGAACCTAAAACTACTCTTAAAAATTAAGGCTATTAGTTTTTTAAAAAATCCAAATGATGACCACCAAGAGTACAATAGATAAATAAATTATAATATGTTTATATAACAGAATAGTATGCAGCAGTTAAAATGAATAAATTTTGATGTTAAATGTAATCTGCATGGTGGTAACCACACAAAAAAATAGCTATAGAATATACATAAGAGGAAATGAGAAGGAAATTAATGAAGATGTTTCACTAAAAGTCAACTAAACACAAAAGAAGACAGTAACGCAAGAAATGAGGGACAAAATCTTATAAGGTATACAGAAAATAGCAAAATGATAGATGTCCTTCCTTATCAGTAATTACTCTAAATGTAAATGGCTTAAACTTTCCAATCAAAAGACAGAGATTGTTAGAAGATATTTAAAAACATGATCCAACTATACGCTGTACACAAGAGACTAATTTTAGATTGAATGACAGAAATAAGTTGAAAGTGAAAGAATGGAAAAAGATATTCCATGCAATTAATAAGCAAAAGTGAGCAGGGATGGCTATACTAATATCATACAGAAAAGACTTTAAATCAAAAAAGGTTATAAGAAAAAAAGGGGAAACTATATATTAATAAAAGGTTCATATAGCAAGAAGATATAACAATCATAAACATTTATGTACCTAATAACAAACCATAACATACATGAAGGGAAAATCGACAGAGTTAAAGAGAGAAATTGATAGTTCTACTAAAATAGGTGGAGACTTCAATAGTCTACTCTCAATAACGGATAGAACAAGACAGAAATAAGGAAACAGACCACTTAAATAATACAATAAATGAACTAGACCTAACAGACATATACAGAACACTCTACCCAACAACAGCAGAATACACATTCTTCTCCAGTGCACTTGGGACATTGTCTAGCATAGACCACCGGTTAGGCCACAATTTTAAGTCTCAATACATTTTAAAAGAAAGATACCATACAAAGTATATTCTCTGACCACAATGAGATAAAGTTATAAATCAGTAACAGAAGCACAACTAGAAAACTCAAAAATTTGTGGAAGTTAAACAATGTACTCTTAAGCAACCAATGATTCAAAGAAGAAATCACAAGGGAAATAAGATAAT